AAAAATGCAGGTAATGCCCAGCAGCCTGGTCTTTTGTTCAGAGTACGGCCACGCATATGAACCATACAGCTCCGATTTTGGAGTCCCCAGCTGGTAGTGGTTAATAAGCAAGGTTCTCTCATCAGGGTTGGTAAAACTAAAAGGTTCGGTTTTTTTTCGAGGTCAGGAGCCACAAATAGGGTTGGTCAGAAATCAGAACCATAAATTTTAAAAGGGTGCATTCACTTCCAGTCCGATGACGTCATCGGCTTCAAACTTCACACACGCTGTATGCATAAGGTCGTTGTATCTACCAATTTTCAAGTGATTCTGGCAAACTCAGCTACAGACATTAACTCAAAATATATTTTTAATTTTTCAACCTGCCACCAGAGGGCGCTAAGTATGACATCACCAGTACGTTTTGAAGAATACTACCTGACCTTAGACTAACACCATTGAAAGTTTAAATCTATAACCAATTTTACACAATAAGGCACTTCCACTTTCAACCAGTTTCGACCATAAGTTAGTGTCAAGCAATTTTACGTACATGAAAAATTTGGAGACTTGCATTTACGCCACCACTTGCCATGGTGAGCAGGTCTCAGGAACTCATAGTTGATTTTATATGGATTTTTAAAGATTAAATTAAAGAATTTCAACTTCTTGAAATTTGACACCTGATTATGTCATCATGACATAATGATTCTGTTTACACCTCAGATGATCTAAATATCAGCCAAGTCTGTAGATAATTGGGTTCGTTTAAAGGCAAACAGTCACGTGAAGAACGAAAAGATGTGGTATCCTATGGAATTTAGAGTGAACAAGGGCTATTTTGGCCATCACCCAAACAGCAAAAAATGTATGATAAACTTTCTTGAAGATGAGCCGCTTACCATGGACACCAGCAGCTAGTGCATCTCAGGCCACGATTCAAGTGCACCACCTCTCTTGTTGCATTATCCAGTATCTTCATATCAAAACACCTCCAGTTTCCCAAACAGTTGCGAGTGCAGCAATTTGTATCTGAGAGAGAAACATACCTGCAAGTGAGTACTGTCCAAAGTATCAATTTAGTGAATGATGTCATAGCGACATCATTGCAGGGGGCAAATAATACCTGCATTTCCTCTGCACGCATGATGTTTCAAAGAAAATTGACTGAATTCACGGTAAAACCGATCTATTCAAGAAAATGAAAAACTCAACATTTTATAATAAATCATATGATGAGACCATCATGATGTCATTTCAAATGTTTTATCACGTCATTTCAAATATTTAATCATGAGTGAAAGAGGTACTACTTGCGATTGCAATTTTTATGTAAATTGAAATTCGCCTGGAATGTTTTTGCAAAATTTTTGATGGCATCATCATGTTACAAAAATTTTGAAACAGCACACTAATCTACATGTACATTGATCATAAGAAGTCTAGCAGAAAGACCCAGCACAACGTTCAACAGTCCACTAAGCTGAAAGTGTACAAGACAGTGGTCCTCACCAGCCTTCTCTGTGGATGTGAGACCTGGACCTTGTACAGGAGACACATTAAGCTGCTCAGACACTTCCACATGCACAGCCTGGGAGCAATCCATGTGAGACCGGTCTTGTTTTAAACAGGTCACAGGAATATCTTCTTAAAGGCATACCACTTGCATATAGGCTATAGATTGGCATAGGTCATTCTTTAATAAACATAAACTTTGCCCTCTATAGTCAGAAAACACTTTGAAGAAACTTTTTACCACCACACCCAGCCCTTGCTTGATGCTTGCATTATAGCAGATTAGTACATTTCCGAAATATCTATTAGATCATTTGATCATTATTTTTGGATACATATCATTTTGGATACCTTTGAAAATACCTGATTTTGTTCAGGACACGTCAGAAAGAATGAAACTACATGTAGAATGGTGAAGTCGCCATGGCTTGCTGATTGATATGAATCTCAATTTCTTTACTACAACAGTACCGGTAGCACATATATACATGTAGAGCCACCCATACAAATTACAAATGGCACTGAAAAGTCATCCATGCAAATTAAAATGGCACTGAAATTAAACAAGGAATCAAGCTAACAAAGTGCAGGCTTGCCAAAATTTTTAAAAATAGGAGGAAAAGAAAAAATGGCTGATAAATGACTACATCATAGATGTAAAATGAATGGCACTGTAAAGGTATTAACCACATCACATCACATCTATCTCCTACTCAACCCATATCCCATCATCCTATCCACTTCCTACTCCATCCACATCCCATCATCCCATCCATCTCCCACTCCACCCTCCAACCCATCATCTCATCTACCTCCAACTCTACCTCTCCCTTCCATCATCTCGTCAATCTCCTGCTCTTTCCCCTTTTTAATACCCAGTCATCCTAACCTGTCTCCCTTTACATGTGTGGCACACACTGTATAGACGTGTGTGCATAGTACAGGAGTGTACAGCACTCACATGTACATTGTATGTATTAAGTAAAAACTTTAACGTTTTGGGTTCAATTTCTTCATTAAATATGCACATGTATGTAAACAACATTTTAAAGCCACGATCCCACATAAAGACTTGATGTTAATAAATTTGAGATTGAAATAAATGAGCACAAATGGCACATACTATAACCACAAGTAAAAACTTTACCATTGAGCGGACGGCCCGACAGATGGACGGACAGCCCGCCCGACGGACAGAAATTGGTATTTTATAGGCTCGCACTTGCTTTGCACCTCACCAAAAATATGAGAAAAGCAACAAATAAAATCATGTAATGATGCCACCATGACATTACCAAAATTTTCACATTTAACATGAGTTGATATGGATTTATGCCAAGTTTGATCTTATTCAGGTGGTTCTCGACACATAGGCTTGTAAAGACTTCAAATTTGCAGGTGTGTTTACATGAAGTAACTAATATAAACTTTTTGTACCAGGTGTACAACAGCAGTGTTTGGTATTTTATTTTTTCTCTAATTCCTTGTATAGCCTCAACCAGAAGGGTCCCTGATTGGGATACTACATTGAATTAACTTGCAACTAATATGTATTTTACTTTGGAGGATTGGGAACTTCAGAAGATTAACCCTCTCCACTGTGGGTTGGGACCCTTATTGTTAACCTTGACTTTATTGTCCACCACCATGTTCCTGCAACTTGGACACTTTTGACTGAGGAATTTCTTTAAGTTTCTCCTATAAAACTGTTGGCTGTCTCAGTCCAGAGTGCACTCCATGACTGACCAACTGCCGGGTATATTATGTTTGTTTTATGTTGCCAGTTCCAGCAGGACTGCACTGCTGCCGTTTGGTTTATGTACAGCATAAGTTCGTTTACTTTCTATGTATTTTCATTTACTTTCTTCAATTACTTTTGGAATAAAGTTTGTTGACTGTACATATATTTCAGTCTCTCATTTCCACTATTTTGGGTTGTAAAAAGTGAGATGCAGTTACAGTTTTTGGGCGACCCTGCCAGGATAGCAATTTAAATCACATTTATTGAATCTGTTGTGATGCCTTGTATGACTTGGAAGATGTTAGACAATGGCGGCACATGTCAATACTGTTACAAAGCAAATTAATTGAGCTCTTGAATTGATGGAGGAAGAGCTAGATGTTAAATTTTCCTTCACCAAAAGTGGGCCGAGTCTACTACTGAATACCTACCCACATTATTTGCACAAAGGTGGGGCTCATTAGCTGTGGGAGGCAGCCTGCCTAGAAGGAAACTCTGATTGACAAACCAAAGCTGGGTGAGCTCCTTAGCAGATTTCACTCTGTTGTTTGCCCGTGCACTAGGTGGTGCCTGACAAACTGGGCTTCCAGGAGGGTGATGCAGCCGCCCCTCGGGCCAGTCGTCGTGGATCCTCCCATGCCATCGGGTCTCTCATCAGGTGGTCAAGATAGTGAGTTGGAGTCTGCGCACCCCCTTCCACTTTAAACTTCCTTCTGCACACGTTTCACTTTCAGCTTGAATCTCATCTTCCTCCAAATATACCAAAGTCCTAGGGCGACTGGGCTCGAGGCGATGGGGCAGGCTTTGGATGGAGCTGGGAACCCTTAGTCTCGTCCTAGCATGTACAGCGGCTGGAGGTAAGTGGTCATGGAGGACTACGACTTGGAGCAGCAGTCCTCCTCGGCAGCACCTTTAGTGACTGAGCAGCCCTTTTTAGGATCCACACTGGTTACCTAAACTTCAAGGAGGGACCTAGAAAAGGTGGTCTAACCACTGTCTGCTCCATCACCTCCGGGGTGGAAAATTGCATCTGTCAGGGCATCCCAATCCTGCAGTCGTAAAAACAAGTACATTAAACACTGACTATCTCTTGTGGTCACCACCAGGAACATCACAACCCTGATAGACTCCAAGGACGGCTCCAACCCTCAGCACCAAACAGCACTTGTTGCCACGAAACTGCAACGTTACAACACTGACGCGAGACTCGTCTTGCACACCACAGTTCGCTGTCTGAAAAAGGAAGTGGCTATACATTCTTCCAGAAAGGCTTGCCTGGCAGTGACAGATGCATCCATGGTGTCAGTTTTGCCATCAAAATATCTTTGCTCCACTCTCTTCCTGAGTCCCAAAAAGGCCTCAATGAGCGCATCACAACCCTCCAGCTCCCCCTGGGTAATAACGGCTACGCCATCGTATGGTGATTTGTGCATATGCTTTAACCTTAACATCTGACGTATCCATGATATCCTACACTCCATTCTCAGAGCTATCCCCCCTGGCGATAAGATTACCTTATTGGGAGATTTTAGCACTAGAGTGGGATCCCAGCACAATGTATCGACTGGTGGTATTGGACGTCATGGCGTAGGAAACATCAACAGCAATGGGATGCGCTTCTTCACTGCTCCAAGTTAGGGCTCTCAATCACCAATACAGTGTTCCAGCTGCAGAACATGCACAAGACATCATGGATCCATCCCTGGTCCAAGCACTGGCACCTCATCAGCTCTGTCAGAGTCTGCTAGTCTGAACTCTGTGATGTGCTCCTATCCAGGGCTATGCAGGGAGCTGAAAGATGGATAGATCATTGTCTCAAAAGGACCACACTCCGGCTTCAAATTCATCCTCTTTCCCGCAAACAGAAGCATTCCAAGTACATTAATGTTCACTCCGTGATCGACCCAGACACCAGAGTTCCACTTCAAACCCCAACACACCACCAAAGTCACTACTGAGTGCCAAGCTATCGCCAACTGACTTCTCGTGGCCTCTAAGTCTGCACTGGGTTTTGTTGATAGACATCACTAGGACTGGTTCGATAAGCCAGCATCCGTCCTCTTCTCGAGCAGAAGAACAGCTTCCACAACACAGTTCTTAGGCATCCTGCTTCAATCAACCTCTGGGCCAAATGGGTGACTTTGTGCTCTACAGTGCAGACTGAGTTGCGGAGACTGAAAAACGAATGGTGGAAGTCAAAGGCACTCAAAATCCAAAACGATGGGGGCAACAATGATATCCATAACTTCTATGATGCTGTTAAAGCCATGTATGGCCCACCACAGCAGTGCTTTCAACCAGTCAGAGGCAAGGACGGCAACCTTTTCAAAGACAAAAACAGTATCCTTGAGAGATGGGCTGAGCACTTCCAGGAGCTTCTGAACCACAAGAAACTCGTTGATTGTTCCATTCTTGAAGACCTCCAGACTCTTTCCCCATCTCCATTAGAGCTTTACCATCTGCCTGACATCACAGAGCTCAAAACAACCATCCGTAGGTTGAAAAACAACAAAGCCACAGGTCTGGATGGAGTTCCTACGGAGGTGTTTAAACACAGGGGGACAGTCTCTCAGTGAGCGTCTCCTTCGCCTCCTCTATGATATCTGGAGCTGTAGGTGTCTACACCAGAAGTGGAAGGATGCCAACATCATCGAGATCTACAATGGTAAAGGTGATAGGGCTGAGTGTGGGAATAGCCCGGGCATCTGTCTCCTTACAATGGCTGGTAAAATCCTTGCCCGAGTCAACCTAGCCTGTCTGTTAGACATGGCTATGT